CAAAATATATACAATATATAAACATCACATATACAGTTTTGAAAATGACTACAAAGTTGCAAACTCAGATATTGTAAGTATATTATTCATGCACATATACATAATATATTCGTGTTATATACTTAATAAGTAAACATCACATATACACAGTCTTGAAAATAACTGTAAGTATACCATTCATGCACATATAAATAACATAATCGTGTTATATACGTAACATATATACTAAATATATACTGCATATAAATTTAATACACATAAAATAAACCATCAAAAAATGTTTGGTATAGATATTGTATATATTTACCGAAAATACACTGCATATAAACTATATATATACACAACATAATCGTGATATATATAGTTTCTTTTCCTCCTCCTCCTCCTCTCCTTCTCCTCCTCCTCCTCCTCTGTCATGATTTTCCTCTTCTTCACGGCCTCGGGCGTTTTGACCTCGCTCAGCCTCTTCGTCTTTTTCTTCTTCGCCTTCTCCACAAAACCCATACGACATCCGAAATCAATGATTGCATCAGCTACTATTGCGGTGCTTCCGGAGTGATACCCAATCACGGATTTTTTTGTGGCCACCCCCGATGTCCGTCACCAGGACTAGATGAAAAACTTTCTCGTCATCTTTCTCCAGCAAAGAATTAAACACACTTAAATAACCAGAAAAAATTGGTGCACTTCTTCCCGAGAGAACCAGTCTTTGGGAGGAAAAAAAAAAAGAAGAAGATACGTATGGAATTCGGAGAAGACACAGTGAGAGAGGGAGGACGGGGCGAGAGAAGAGGTGGGAGAGAGAGAAGAGGTGAAACGTGTTGAAGAGAGTAGACGGTGGGCAGTTTTTGAGTAGTGGGATAATTCTCTCTTACCATATGCATCGAGAGCCCTTTTTTGGTACTGATATTATCACCATTAATTTAGCTAGTAATTAATTATTTAGGTCAACTTTTGATATCAACTGAATTCTAGTAAAACTGCAAATATTAACGTAATCTTTGACTATAATGCAAATATTTTTAAACAGGTATTATTTGTGTAATTAAAATTGAACTTTCTAGTGTAGGCTATAATTTTCTCTTGCCCAACCCAGCCCAACCCAGACCAGCCTATCCCAGTCTAGATTACTCCTTAAGTCAACATTTGCCCACTATATATCTACATCCAAATTACAGTCTTTTGGCCTCAGATTAATCAGTGGTGTATTTTCACATTAAATATTTTAATTCCCCACTAAAAAACAATTTAGACAACTCCAGAACGATGCTCATAGGCAGAGCAAATATTCATTGTATTAGCAACAAACATACTGCTTAGGTCTAATAAGATGTCAAATATTGTTAGATTTGGGGATTTCAGTTCATTGGTCCCAGTAATAGGGGTTGATATTGTACTGCGCTCGGAACAGAAGCACTCATTATTGTATTGCTAGTTGTACTACGCACTAATGCTTCTACTTTGATTTGTGAATTGTATTTTTTGTTGTACTACACTCTAATACCTTTATTTTGATTTGTACTTGACACTGGATGCCAAATCTCAAATGCCTTCAGCTCACCCATATATAAATTCATTTGAATCCACTTTTCATTATGCAATTTAATTTGCACCTTCATTTTTGCATTCTATTGCGGTAACTTTGTAAATTATTTTTTACTGCGGTGTCCAGTTGCCACTGTATTTTCATTTTACTTGGAAATAGAGGAGGCCACTGGCCACACCGATGGATTTGTCCCGTTGACCAACACCATGTACCTGTTGACCCGATTTTGGATTGGTTAAAAAATGGCCTGCAGATTCGGGTCCAACCCGGAACCAACAAATCCACAAAGTTCTGGCCCAACTTCAGATTTTCTTTTTGTTTGTTTGTTTGTGTGCACCGCTCTCAAATATCTTTCCCATCGCAATTTTTCCACCTCACAATCCCAAAACCTGCAGAAATCCGAGCCACGTCAGAGGATATATAATCTGAATCCAGCCAATCATATCACACCACGTGGATGGATAAACAGAACACAATTCTCCACCCATCCATTATCTGATCATCACTACGCCTTCATATTAAACCTACGCACCTCAATTCCCACAAAAATAATAAAAAAGCAAACAAAAGATTGTATTGGAAAGGAAAATGGCCGCCGTCACCTCCGCCGCAGTCACTATCCCATCCTTCTCCGGCCTCAAGGCCGCCGCCCCGGCCCCCAAGCCCGCCGCCGTCAGACTCGCCGCCCCCNNCCGGAGGCTCGCCGTGAGAGCCTCGCTGAAGGACGTCGGCGCCGCGGTGGTCGCTACCGCCGCCGCCGGCATACTCGCCGGTAACGCCCTGGCCATGGAGGTAACCCTGGGCGGCGACGACGGGTCGCTGGCGTTCATCCCCCAGACCTTCGAGGTCGCCGCCGGCGAGAAGATCGTGTTCACGAACAACGCCGGCTTCCCCCACAACGTGGTGTTCGACGAGGACGAGATTCCGGCGGGGGTGGACGCCGCCAAGATCTCCATGTCGGAGGAGGATCTGCTGAACGCCAAGGGAGAGACCTACGCCGTCACTCTGACGGAGCCTGGGACCTACAGCTTCTACTGCTCGCCCCACCAAGGCGCCGGCATGGTCGGAAAAGTAACCGTAAAATAGATTTTTTTTTTTTCTCTTTCTTTTTTGTGCCTGAACGCAAATTATCTCTTTTTTCATTAAATTTCTCGAAATAATCGGAGTAGCTGAGAGATTATCGTGGAATTTGGATTATGTAATGAGATGAGATGATTCCCTTTTTATTTACTTTTGTATACTGTATTTGTTTGGTTGATACATATGCCAGAACTTGTATCAGACTATCATATTCATGTTTTTGCCATATATACTCTAAATCATGTATGTTTTCCTTATAGTAACTGGTAATAATCTAAAACGACAAATAATTGAAAACGAAAATACAAATTGCTGTGACACTAAAGTTTGAAGTTATTTTTTCCGATATAATTCGTCGCACAACACAACCGGTACCAAAAGCTCGAAAACATTTTGTTTTAGTTTGGTATTCAACTTCTCTAATTTCACATTGTATTCATAATACCCCTTTAGTGTGGGGTTTTTGTTGGTACAACAAAGGATTCATACAAAAACTATGTTACGTGAAAATGTGAAGACAATTCAAGTAGTCAATGCATCTGGCAAATTTGTTGGACATCCCAGCACCTTACCACCAACATCGATGAAATTTTCATGTCCGGGCAAAGAACTAACCTTCCCATCAGCATCTATTGCCACCGGGTATTTTAGGATATGCCCTTTTAATGAAGTGAACTCGTTTGCTGTGTACCTATTCCAATTATCTTCCGCCACACTATTCACATACTTTACGCACTCTAAGTTTTTAGGTTCCTTGAAACACTTGTGAATACTTCCAATGTGTTCTGCCCAAAGTGACATACGGTATCCATATATCTGCACGTGTGCATGAACTTAATTTTCACTAGTCATACGAAAAATTGAAGCTCGGGCATGCAATGATAATATGTAGGAACTTTCTTTCTTCTTTGAAATGAAAAGATGGGATAAAGCAAACCTGGCCCAAAGGATGTTCCTGTTTTTTAGCCCAAGTGTAATGGGGTTGATAAGCACCCATGGCAATTTCAGTATCTCTTGAACCAGCCATTGACCGTTGGTTTATATTGGCAGAACCGAGTATCACGTACTCATCATCCACAATCATGCCCTTGGCATGTACATAAATCATAAATCTTCGGAATTTTTTTGAATTTGTGTCCTGTAGAAGTAAACAAGATATTGTAATAAGAATAAAGCACAGAGTAGCGTGGCACTCAACTACAGAAGGCACACATTAAACTTAATTCATATAATAGTTTTGATATTAGCAGTTTCCGTAACTTAAAACAAGCAAAAGTAGAAGTAAAGGAACGGGTATGCTAAGGCCGCATTTGTTTATAAAAAAAAACTAGAAAAAAAAATGTTGATTCTTTTCTGATTTTTTGTGTTAATTAAAGTTTATTTGAAAAAAGTTAGTATGGTTAGTTGTTAGTGGAATAATGTATTAAAATAATATTTAAAATAAGATGATTAAAATTGATTTTATGTAAAAGTAGGAGGTAAATGATTGAAAATGATAGGTAGTTAAAATGATGTGAGTGGATGAATAGTGAATTAAAATTGATGTGATGTGTAAGATTGATTGAATGATATTATTTAATTATATTGATAATATTGAGATAGTGAGGTTGAGTTAAAGTTGAATTACATTTGAATTGAGATAGATTTTTTTCTAGTTTTTTCATAAACAAGCAAAGCCCAAGTAAACAAAAGAACAAACAATATGAGTTGAATTACCGAACTAGATGAGTTTTGACCATCAACATTTACTTCTTCTTCAGGGCATTGCTCTCGATTGCCAAGACAGTAGAAATTTAGATAGTCTGTTGGATGTGCATTCTCGAGTTCAGCAGACTTGATCTCTTTAGCAATGATCTCATACATCATTTGCATTGTTTGCCACTACAAGATTGAGAAAGTCAAACTTAACGAACAATTGTAATGTTAACAAACATTTGATATAAACTGCCAAAAAAATTGGTAGATACTTGATTTGTCGTATGCTACATACCTGCCAAAAAAGGATTTCTTGTACTGAGGCAGAATCCGGAACTCCCTCTGGCCACATAGGGATAACAATATAAACTGTGAATCTTTCTTTTGCTCTTATTTTACTGGCTATCTTTAGTGCAAGTTCCATAGGGATTAAATTGTCAGCGCCTATAAAAACACACATTTATATTGATCACGTGGTTAAGAAAATATAAATCAATGCAAATTGTTCTGTCATTTCATGTTACATGAATTAAAAGAAAAACGTCAAACTAGAATTGTATAATGTTTAATCTAATCATAATCGAATCATTTAATTTGGATAGATTTTCAAAATTGTATAACTCGATTCACTTCAAAATCAAGGGTGTGTATAGGTAAATGGTCAAGTCAACAGCATAACTAGAAAAAGCAACTTACCTGCATTTTCATAAGATGGCCAAGCATAAGATGACCCGAGGAAATATTGGTTCTCAATGTATATGAAATGTTGTGCACATCTTATAGCATGGATATAAGCCATTTGAATGCTTCTGTCTATCACCAAATTTTTCGCACACACTAGGTTCTGAAATTAAAACAATTTGCAAGGACTTATTTTTCTGGCAGAATAAAAAAGAAGGCAAGAATATAATTTGATATTGATTAAACTAGCCAGTGTAAAAACAAAAGTTCAAATAATCAAAATTAAAAATCGAGAGTACTTGTTCCTCAGCTGCATGGACATTTTTGGGAAATCCTTTCAGCGATCCCGAATCTATGGACCGGAAAATCTGTCGATATAAATAAATAAGAAGCTGAGGTAAAATTGTTAATGCTGCATAAATATCAAACAAAAAAACTTTTCTTGTGTACTTAAACCCTTCACAACCTGAACATGCCAGTTTTCTGGACTGTCTTCCAATGAAACCCATAATGAAGGGTCATCATTTGGAACAGTTGGTGACGGACTATTAATCCAGGATATTCTTTCAACCTTAATCAAAGCGTCATCATGCCAATGTGAAATCTTTTTAAAGCGTTGTCCAAACTCAGACCATTTAGTGGCTTTTCTCCACCGTTGTTCAAAGTTTGTGAGCACATCATAAGCGGCCGGACCTTCAATTTTGCAATGTAGATCATGCCAAGGTTGTCTTGGTCCTTTCTTTCCCGGCTTTTGGAAAAATATATAACCCAAATATATTTCAGAAAATTTATAATAGAAACGACAGAAATTAGACATAAGTGTTAATCTATATATTTTACAACTTTTATTATGAATGAGCAGAATGATGTAGGATAAGTGAATCCAAATACATGTCACGTATTATAAAATGCAGTATAAAGAACACACTGAATTACTTTAAGCACACGATTCTATGGTAATAGGTTCCAAGAAACAAATAAACAAATGGAATATAGAATGCCACTGTCAAAGTTTTGTTTTTTCCTTAACAGGCAACACGAATAGTGCAGAACTAGTTGTTTGATGAAATACGATGACTGCATTATTGTCTATTGACTTATAAGGATAACTCTGCATAAAGCAATTACTCACAGGAAAGGTTGGATTATGATAATCATTCTCAAATACAGTGTCGAGATCACGAAACAGTCTATGTTCGGGAGTATCATAGCGTCCATCACAGAGATCGAGACCGCCAATGAAAGAAGTTATCTTTCTGTTGTTGCCATAGTCTTGAGTGTCCACAATAACACATTTCTGATGGTGCGTATAAAGAGTTCCAACAACCTGAATAGATAAATAAACACATGAAAGTTATAGTACACTTAACTCATTCTGTGACTAGTTTATATGGTAATGTGTAGGAGCAAAATGTAACAGTAATCTTATTTTCTATATTTTTTAAATCTCGTTCAAGACGCACGTAGTGAATAAACCGAAAAGAGATTGGTGGGACTTGGGAGTGAAACAAATTTGGCAAGTCATGTCCATGGTAATTTATGAAGTATGTTTCATTCATTAATCTACATGTCAAATAATAAGCTTTGATAGATTACAAACTGTCATACATGAAGAATCCAAAAGTTATTAGACCAAACAATTAGCTCTATGAAAGAAAGTAAAAACTGGGTTACAAAAAACAAAGCATGCCTGCTGCTTGAAAAAGCTGAGCTTACTACTTGCGTAACGGGGGGCTAGCACACATGTGACAGACGAGTGCTTGAAAAACTTCCGAGTTTCTTCGTCATGAGTTTGCATCACTCCTTCCTGCACTACAAACAATCCAATATTAAAAAAAAAAAAAATACCTAATAGGCAATAGCAAGAAATGATGCTAGATAAAAAATCCCATTTCTATATAATATATAACAACTATTGCTCGACAAACAATACCGTCTTAAAAAAGAACTTGTTGTGCGATGTCTTGTCGTCCCAAACCAACAGCAAAACCCTCACCCCTTCCTGCGACTTGTACTTAAGCAACTCCCCAAGATTCAAATCCCCACCTTTCGGCAATGGCTTGCTCGGTTCTCTCACCAACTTCACCTTATGAAAAATCGACCACCCAACAATGTACACTAAGTGATGCGCCTCCAAAATCGCGTGACAAATGTCCTCCCAACACTTCCCGTGCTCGAACTTTTTCCCACCATCAAGCTCGATTTCCGGCAACATCCCATCCTTCACGTGAGCATCCTGATAGAGTGTGACCTTACCTCCATGACGAGACGGGAAATAGCTCTGCTTCAACTTGTAATCCTCGGAAATGCCGTTTTTGTAAACCGGGTTCTTGTGGAAGGGCGTAAACGTCATTTGTACCCGGATGGCCGAGTCGGGTTTTGGGGGCTTTCCGTATGATCCGATTACTGGGAACCAATCGTCGATTAGTTCGCCTGAAGCAATTCGGCTTGCCGGCACGGATGCAATTCCGATTAGCTCGGCGCCAAACATGTCGTTGTCCTTGACTTGAAAATCGACCTGTTTAGCAATTCGACAAACATGTCATTGTCAGGTGAGATTTGGATTTCATAAAATTAAAAATGGAAGGTAGTTTTTAACTAATTAGGATCGAAAATTGAACAGATTATAGAAAATTAACCCTCGACGTATTTAGATTTTGTATTTAATTTCACCTGAGAAACGGGGTGAGCTAAGGGGATCTGGAAATGCTCGTCCCAAATCGGATCCTGGGAGTTGGATATGACCCGGGTCCGGGCGACCCGGGCGCCGGCGAGGCAGACCGTGACGTAAGGGTCGCTGGTGATGATCTTGCGGTGGTGGTGGCGGCGGTCGTGGCTGCGGCTTTTGGCGAAGGGGCGGCGGCAGAGATCGAACGCGGTGAGGCAGCGGCGGAGGCGCTCGGAGACGAGGTCCATGTTAGGAAGGCAGCGGGCCTCGATGATCCTGAGGTCGAGGTCGCCGTGGAGGTAGATTGCCTTGTCCGGGTTATCGCCGGCCATAATGCGGCGGCCGGGAAGGGATGAGGGGCTGCGGAGTTGGGGCGGTGGCGGATGGAACAGTGGGCGATGTTTTTATTGGTTTGGTTTTGTGTTGTTTTTAAAAGGGCGGTAGGAGTTTTTGGTATTGAAGCGGANGTGATTTTTCTAATAAATATGCTCATTCATAGTATGAAATGTTATATTTTTATTTATGTTATTTTTAAAAATAATTTGCTTGCATATGTAAAATGTATAGTTTTAAAAAATATAATTTACTAACGATATGTCTAACATAAGCCGGATTGAAGGCGAGGGGATAATTTGCACTATGCATAAATTGGATGTTCTTTTTAATTGTTTTTACTTGAAAAAGAGGGAGCAGTTTGCTTTATGTATAAGTTGGATGCTCTTTTTAATTCCTTTTTACTTTGAATTTTGGTTTTGCCTGTTGGTATTGCTTTTACTTTGATTTGTACTTTTAATTTGCATCTTAAAAGCTTTTATTCATAGAAAAAAAATGAAACAGAGAAATTTAGGCGTGTAGTTAAATGAAAGATTTGAGTCGTGTATTTATTTCTTTTACCTTGTCAAGAAAATTTTCCTCTTGCAATAAAAGTTTTAGGCTTTAATTTTGTAGGATGATAACTTTAGTCCATCAAATCAATTTACAAAAAGTATGTGAACTGATTATTGTCGTAGTCACTGGTCACACCAACTAAACTCGAAACGTTTGGTAAAAGAAAAAAAAAATGTCAAATTTGAAGTCTACAATTTGATCCACACGAATGGTCTACAATACGACTTTCATTTTGTGTACAAAGCAATTGAAAAGGATATTGAATAGTTGCATAAATAAATGATGTGTGACAATTTGACGTAGACCATGATGGGCAAACATAATAAGTTATATAAAGTTTGATATAATTAATACATAGTAAAATTTTATATATCACATCAACTTTAAAATCAACAACTTATATTCTTACACATCAATTATATCGGCTATAATGTTAAAGTAACATTATTCTTTGATTTATACTTAGAGCATCTCCAATGTGATGATGCGATGGCCCGTCATATGTTTCTGAACATGGCGAATGACCGGAAACGACGCCTACTTGTGGAGGTTTGGGTTGAGGAGGGTGCTGGAAGTGGCTGACGACGAGACGACGAATCTTTGTTTGCGATATGATTATCGAGAACTTGTTTGTGGTTGCTTTTATTTGCTTGGACTGCTTGTTTCACTCATTAACTAAACTCGTTCTAGTGGTTGTGTATTTGAACATTTTATGTGTGCTTGCTTTTTTAGGAGTTGCTTGGACTGCTTCTTTCCCACATTATTTGTTTTTTATATTTTATGTGCCTTGTATTATTATATATATTTCTATTCTCAATTAAAATGATTTGTAGGATGTCTTACGTAAACGACACTAATGGATATGACGACGTAGACGACATTATGGAGACGGAATACGAATCCACCGGGCCTTTCGAAGCAAATGATCAAATGGATGAAGATATTGTACAAGATAAAGATGTGAAAAGGTGCCCTCCTAAAGTTGCACGAGCAATTAAATTAGGCACTATTTTTGTGTCACATTTAAAAAAAATCGTGCGACTAATGGAAAGCTCTCCGTCCACATTCGAACAGCGCCAGAGAAAACCCTTCCGCGAGTCAAGCATTACGGGAATGCAATGGGTAAACGAGCTTCTACAGGGGAACCATAGGAGATTTTACTACGCTATGGGTGTCGATAAACAAGTTTTCCATCGTTTATGTGAAGAAATGTAAAGGAGAGTCGTTCATGGCCATCACAAGCAAAGAAAAGTTTGCATTCAAGAAAGTGTTGGTATGTTTTTGCACACAATAAAAGGATATCAACAACATAGGCATTCAACTGAAACATTCAGACGATCTACTGAAACTATTTCACGACATTGTCATATCATTATAACCGCCCTCGCTGATATGGGCCCGGACTACATCCTACCCCCAAACGTGAATCGGGTGCCGGCTTGAATACGCAATAATAACAATTTGTATCTGTATTTCAAGGTGACAGTTTTTGTAGTCGTATGATTTTACTTCTTCCACTGCTCTTCACTAACTTGTAACTCTCGTTACTGATAGGATTGCATCGGCGCAATTGACAGCACCATAATACCAGCATGGGTTCCACATGGTCACCAGGGGGCTTACAGATGCAGAAAAGGATATCTAGCGTAGAACGTCATGGTCGCCTGTGATTTCAACATGAAGTTCACCTTCGTGTTGGCAGGATGGGAAGGTAGCGCTAATGATGCCCGAATTTTCAAAGACACGTTGTCCAATCTGAGGTATCAATTCCCTTTTCCACCACCGGGTATGTCCGCCTTCTCGAATTATCTCTTTTAATTAAATAAAGCGTTTTTTAATATAAATTCACTATTTCTTGTGTACTTTTTAATGTAATGAAATATTTGTAGGTAAATATTATGTTCTTGATTCTTGGTATTCAAATCATCCCGGTTTTTTGGCGCCATACCGCGGCGAGAGATATCATCTTCCCGAGTGGGTCAGGTCAAATAGGACCCCGAAAAATTGACGCAAACTATTTAATAAAAGGCATGCAGTTGTACGCAATGTTGTGGAATGGTCTTTTAGTCTCCTTAAAACTAGGTTTTCTATATTGAAGAATTTAATGCCGAGGTACTCCCTTAAGTCGCAGACGGACATGGTTGTTGGTTGTTGTGTTTTACACAATTGTATACTGACGCATCAAGAAAATAATACGACACCGGCGGCATGGTTACAGCCCGATTTTTGTTCCCCAACATGATGTGGATGATTTTTTTTCGTTTCGTCCTAACTATTTGATTTAATAGGTTGTTCTTCGTGTAACATCCGTGACATTTACTAGTACTCAGCATTTCAGCAACCATCTTATATTTGTTATCGTATGTATATATTGTATTATATCGTGTGTAAGAAACCTAAAAAAAAAAGTACGCTATAAACTCATTTATATATTATTTATATATATGAACCTAATTATATACATGTTTTACATTATGTTAATATGTCTTTAAATTTAGATACTTATTAATATATATATATATATATATATATATGAATACCATATCGTTGATATTATATTATATATATATATATATGTTTGTATATTTATGTATTATATTATATTATATTTATATATGTTTACATGTATTATATGTATGAATAGAGAATCGTCATACACATGTGTCCACTATATTTTCAATATATGATACTAATATTGGTATATTAGTATATACATATATACTAAGATAAGTATATATTAGTATAATATATACTAAGATATATTATATATTAGTACTACTCATACACACTTACAAAAAAAAAAATTAATATATCATTATTTTTAGTAGTATGTAGAATGAAAGCACAATACATATTATTGAACTGAAAGATTAATATATGTGTTTCGTGCATCACACAAACAATATAGTTTAACGAACACAAATTAATTTCAACCGACTATAATTATGAAAAGGGACCCATGGGTTACAATTGTTTTCCTCACCCACACCTTCATGTTTTTTTTTATTTTTTTTTGTTTCCGCTTTTAAATAGACTTCATCATGTGTCCTTCCCAACACACACCTTCCAAGCAAACATGTTAACCTTTCCCTTTCCCACAAATAAGAGTGCACACATTCAAATTGTGCGAGAAGGATTTGCCCATAAATTGAATTCATCTAAGGAGGAATTATTTTGTTTAATAGTCAAAAGATTCGTTTGAGACAGAGGGCATGACAAAAGAATCTAACATCCTGGACGCCTTTGAAAATATTCACCAAGCGTGTTTGACAGAAATTGATCCGAATCTCACCTTGAAAGAGTGTGTTGTCACGTTCATGGTGCTAAAAGAAAGGTACCATACGTTTAAATATTTGATCGACACACCGAACGCGGTTTTTGAGGTCAACGATAAATACATACATCTTGATGGGTATCAACGAGAGATTGCAATCGAGGTAACCGAAATTCATCTTTCATTTTAAGCATCTACTTTATTTGTCACAAAACAATATCATAAAACTCAATCATGCACGTACTTTATCATACTTTACGTTGTTTCTCGTTTACTTTTATATGCTTTAGCACTGGAGAGCATTATTTTAACAATCCAGAGCCTATGTGGGATACCCTTACAAGGACATTTGCCGATTTAAGCCTGAACAACTACCCGGGTAAAGAGTTTTGGAAAAGGCACCCAGATTTTCCGACGTTTGATCAATTGATAGCTGACTATTGGGCCGAAGAGGCGCGCCAGACGGCGCGTAGAAGGAGGCGTTAAAAAATAAAAACCATTTTAGTTGCATTGTTAGATTAACAGTGTCAATGTATTTTCAATTTCTGTATTATGTAATGTTCCGAAGTGTTTGTACCTGCTTTGTCTAAATGAATCAAGATTTCTTTAATCTTTCTCTTCTACAGTAAATTATTTTTATAATTCTTCAAAACCGTAATGGCGTGTCGATTAGTGAATGTTCGCAAAATATTTTCACTATCCGCAAGTGTACGGTATAGCTGTAGTGAGTGGCGAGCAAGGTCGTATTCCACAGAGATTGTTGTCAAAATTAACCAAGTATCAAAATGTAAACGATTAAATATTATTTAGTCTAATGCAAATTTGAGTGGTGATTTTATTCTAAACTAATGAATGATTGCAAAATAAATTCTAACACTAATGAAGGCTTGTTCTAAGATAAATCAAGAATGAGAAAATAGATTCTAGGCTATGCTTTCCTCGGGATTATTCTAACAAAGATTAATTATTCATTCAAACCTTATTTAATTCTACCATTCGTAGGGATAATCACTAAAGTAATTTACACCTTTCTCTCGAACAAGTTTTTGTATATTAAATGTTATCTATCTCCTCTCGGTCTCAAGATGAACAATCAACTCCCATAAGCTCCTAAGATTCTAGTTCCCTCGCAAGATTCTATCAACCTCTCGGTCTGTTTAGTCTCTTACGTTATCAATTTCCCAATTCTAGCAATCAACTATCTCCTCTCGGTCTCAAGTCAATCACAAATATGCACAAATACGGGCCCTTATATTCACACAATAAACAAAAGCATAAGAAATTGATAAACGAATGATAAACCGGAATGAATAAACAAAATCACTTCATAAAATAATCCGAGTAATCGCAAATCCTAGAATCCCTAAAAGTTTAGCTACTAAACATATTCTCAAAACTCAACATAAATATATTCATGAGTTCAACGAAGAAGAAAAAGAGAAAAGAAAGAAGAACTATTGTCGCCGTTAGTTCCCAGATCTTCAATCTTGACTTCCTCGAATCCCTCATGTGTTTCGTGCTTTCTCTAGGCCTCCAATGGTGTCAAAAGTCCCAAAAACGAGTTCCTAAGGCCTCTTTTATACTGTAGGGTCATTCAGGGTCGAAAAAGGGAAGAAAGCGCATAAGAATCCTATTCCCCGCAGGTTTGGTCTGCCGTCACACGAGTCGTGTGATATGCCACACGAGTCGTGTGACTTTTCTCCAATTTTCGACAAACTCCCAGACTCACACGAGCACCCACACGACCGGGTCACACGAGTCGTGTGAGGCCACACGACTCGTGTCCCAACCCACACGACTCGTGTGAAAATGCCGTAGCTGCGTCTCTTCTTTCTTCAATCCACACGACCCGTGTCACTACCCACACGAGTCGTGTGACCTCTTCTGCACCTGTTTTCGCCGTTTTTCGTCCCGATTCCATCTCCAATGCATTTTCGGGCATATTTCCTGCAAAAACAACGACAAAAACACCTCTATCATAGTTTAATAAATCAAACAAAATGGTGCACAATCACACAATAATCATGGCCAAATATCACTATATATCACTCATAATGCATGAAAATATGATGAATGTCAACTCCCCCAAACTGAAACCCTTGTTCGTCCCCGAACAAGAATAAGAAAATCAGAACTCAAGCATAATGAGTGATATCAAACGAGAACAGCTTCAAGTTATTCAATGCAACCAAGAAAAATTCAAAAGATCATAATTATCATGCTTTGACTATTAACTTGTATCCACCTTGAATCAACGAACTCTCAAATAGGAATATATAAGTGCCTCACTCACATGTCATCAATATATAAAAGAGAAGGACACGCTCAAGTCACATTGAACACCCAGTTAACTATATGTTTGCCAATCATCTAAAACTCTACTTCAAACACAATCAATAATCATGAGCTTTAAATCAAAAGGTCTTTCCAGGTTGTAATGTAGGCTATTTGGTCAAGGGTAAGATATATATAGGTTAAGTGGCTCAAATAAACAATCATACTATTCGAGTAAATAGACTACTCGACATACTCCACTCTTCCTCTCTAATCAACATGAAGTTTCTCAATCCCAACCCAAAACAATCCATACACAACTCATAAATGCTCAAATCAAATTACAAAGGAGGTACTTGACCATTTTTTTTTCTTTTTTTTTTTTTAGAGAGTTCCATTTTTTTCCAAACAAAATCAAACTGCATGGACAACATTCTCTAGGTATAAACATTGGAGGTCATCTAAGTGTCCTAGAGTGGTTTCCCATTACTCATTACACGTCAAAATAAATCAACTAGTAAGAGGAGTAGAATCCCAACAGTTCGACTTGCGAGCTCTCTTTATTATTTTTCTTTTTTTTTCGGTCAAACACAGTAAATGCAACTCAATCACACCTCATTCCACACCCAATCATCCAATAAATAACTCCGTTATCCCCATACTTCCCAAATATCAGTCAACTCTCAAAATAAATAAGATACACCGGTTGACAAGAAAAAGGCTTAAGGCTCAAACGGGCTATTAGTGGAAAATATTTTTAAGGACAAAGAACAAGGCCAAACGAGCTAAATTCAAAAACCGCCTAAATCATTTTCAAAGCTCATAATCACCAATGTATTTTTTTCAAGTGTAGAATCAAGGCAAATTCTAATAACTTAGGTATTCAATTGACACACACAGACAATGAATAAAGGCTCAAATCTCACTAGGCTCAAAATATCGCTAATTCAAGGCTTCACAAGCATTTTCATCTAGGCATGACTTTTACAATCCCAATCACAATTTCTTAGCCACATCAAATCACAATTCACCATTCAAGTTATACATATCATCATCAAATCGAAAGCCCAAAATACACAAGAGACTGACTCATAATAAATCCTACTCCTAAAAAGCAAGTAAACGTGCTCAATAAAAACATAAAAATAAAAATAAACTAATGCAACCTATATGAAATGCAAGATAGATGGGATAAGAACCTAAGATATGCCGCACCCCTCCCCCAAACTTATTCTTTCGAGAAAGAACAAATTGGAAGAAAAAGTGGTATATCTTAGGGGACTAACTTCCTGAAAATCACGGCGGAGGAGGGGGAAAATTCCCCTCGTGTCTCTGCATCCAATCGAACAGCTGCTGGAAACCGCTGTTCATCCGCTCCTCCAGCCAAACTGCAGACGCACGGTTCTCATCCCGCATGCCCCGTACGTCCGTCCTAAGCTCGCGCATCTCTCGCTCGAGCGTCAACATCCTCTCGTCCATAGTCGGCTCTCGACGCCTCTGCCTCTGCCTCTGCTCAGCCGCTCGAGATGACTCCGGTCTATCCTCACGCACCGGCTGCTCGGGTGCTGCTCCATCATGATCTCCATCCTGAACTCCATCCTCGTGCCACATCAAGGCATCCATCTCTCCCTCAAACCCGGGCATCTCCTCCTCCTCCGGGTCCTGGTCAGGCAACTGTGGGGCAAGTTTTCGCAGAACTCCCACAGGCGGACACGTTGCTCTCATCTGCCGATGCTCCTCGGTGTCCATCAGTATGTTCCCCTCACGTTGGAGTCCCGTCAGATGTGGGTGTGGGAGAGGAAAATGGTCGACCATCTTCTGCACGAAGAATATCCGATCGTGCGAATCAGTCTTCATATATCCGATGTTCACCAAAGCCGACAGATCTAAGAGATCCCCTCCCGTGACATGCTCCCACCGTGAGTAGTCGACTCCGAGACGATCGGCGGTAACCGTAATCACACCTCCGCACCGGAGTACGGTGTTGCTCGCCTGGCTCATGCGAGACAAATGCTCGCCCACCAACCGTCCGAGTCCTGGCCTCCGCTGCCTCATCAAACACCACAATATATAAACCTCGACCTTCGTGATAGGGCCGGTCTCACGCCGTGCAAATAGAACACTCGCCAACACCCGGTGAACATAGCGCAGGACCGGGTTGCGAATATCAGCGGCTTTCGCTCCCCCACGTGAAAACTGTAACGGTTCGGCATCCGCTCCATCAGGGGTCAAAGTAATGGACCTCCAAAAGTCGGCCTCACTGTACTCAATCTTGTCTGCATAGTCATCCCCTCTGCCGAACCAAGCTGCTAACTGGCCCTCAGTCACCCGCCGAGGCTGATTATCCAGCCGGAAAGTATATTCCTCGAAAGTCGTCGTGGTGCCCCTCTTCACCTTAAAGGTGCTAAGAACCTCGAGCACCATCCTTCTGTAAGTACCTGGGCGCTCACGTAGCATGTCCGAAATCCCGAGCCGGTTAAATAGAGGCTTCACCGCCTCATGAATGCCAAGGGCACGCTCGGCTGTCTCGTCAGGATACCGAGTCGGTCGGATAGCCAGCTGTGCGAGTCGGGTCCAATTCGCTTTCTGCCAGTCGTGCTCCAAGGTAACTCCTAACTCGCTCCAGGGGGTCGGATTGGCCTCGACGTCGTCACGTCTCCCGACTGGTGGCGGATTCGATGGACGGGCCGATCGAGACGTCGCATTCGCACTCCCACGTCCACGGCCAACTCCACTTCGACTCCGTGTATTCATATTGCACCTACATTAACAAATTTAACACTTCAACTTCAACATCACCAATAAACAAACCACAAGAAAATCATCAAAATCAACACTCGTCACAACATTCACCAATAACACACCATCTCAACACATATCCCACAATGAAAAATTCCAATTCCAAATAAGTATCAAAAAGAGAGCTAATATCATCAAACTACAACAAGTCCGACTCCAATCAATAAACATCACAATAGCTCAACCTACTCACCGAAACTTCACCACATATCATCAACTCTTCAACTATCATAACCCAATTCACAAATAACCTTTCTCAAATATCATATCAACCCACATTCGATAATAGTCACAAGTCTTCAAAATTAAAATATAACTCAATTTCTTTCAACTCTAAAATCACCAACAATTCATGTAAACTCTTCACACCACAAACACTACCGCAAATAAATCATGAAAAATGCACTAACCAC